TACTGTACAACAGCCTGATCTGACCGACAACGCACGGCCTCACGTAAGGAGACTGAGAGAGGTACAGTAGGATGAAAATGGTTCACAGTAGTGATGAGAGGTACAGTTGATGAGGAGAGTACCAGTACTGATCAGAGAAGGTACAGTAGATGAGGTAGGATGAGAGAGGTACCAGTAGGACCTGAGAAAGGTACAGTAATGATACGAGAGAGGTAACAGTAGGATGGAGAGAGGGCGTGCAGTCAGGATGAGAAAGGTAAATAGTAGGATGAGAAAGGTACAGGTAAATGCAGCAAGGTACAGTAGGAGAGGAGTGACGAGTAGATGAGAACACGGTATAGTAGGATGGAGCAAAGGAAACAGTCAGAATCCGAAGAAGGTACAGTACGAATGACGAAAGGTACAGTAGATGAGAAGGTACACTAGGAATGAAGGAGGATGCAGTAGCATGAGAGGTACAGTGCGCATGAGAGAGGTACCAGTAAGCATGAGAGGTTACAGGTAGAGATGAAGAGGTACAAGTAGGATGAGAGAGGTACAGTAGGATGAGAAAGGTACAGCTAGATCGAGAGGTACAGTAGGAAGGCATGAAGAAAGGTATAGTAGGATGAGAAAGGTACAGGTAGGCATGAGAGAGGTACAGTAAGGATGAGAGAGGTGCAGTAGGCATTGAGAAAGGGTATTAGCTAAGTGATGAGAAAGGTATCGAAGTAGGATATTCGAGAAAAGGTCATTCATAAAGGCGATGAGAAAGGTACAGGTAGGATGTAGAGAGGTGCCAGTGAGAGATGAGAGAGGTACAGATCAGGGAAAGAGCATGAGGCATTAGGATGAGAGGTACAGGGTAGGATGAGAAGAGGTACAGTAAGATGAGAACGGTACCAGTAGGATGAGATAGAGTACCAGTGAGAACTGAGAGAGGGTACAGTAGGATGAGAAGGTACAGTACAGATGAAGAGGTCAAGTCTAGGTGATGCAAGAGAGGTATAAGGGGTGAGGATGAGCAAAAGGTAACAGTTAGGAGGTCGCGAGAGCGAGGTACAGTAGGATGAGAGAGGTTGCAGTAGGATGAGAAAGGTAAATATGTAGGATAAAAGGTACAGTAGGAATGAGAAAGGTATATGTCAAGGAATGAGAAAGTACAGTTAAGAATGAGAGACGGTAGCAGTGAGGATGAGAAAGGTACAGTAAGGATGAGAGAGGTTATCAATAGGATGAGAGAGGTGCATAGGAATGAGAGTACAGCGTAGGATGCAAGAGAGGTACAGGTAACGTAGAGTCATGCTACAGTTTAGGATGAGAGGTACAGTAGGATGAGAGAGGCTAAGTAGGATGAGAAAGTACAGTCAAGAGGCCAGGAGATCACACGCTATGACGAATAGGCAATAGTAGGATGAGAAAGGTATTATCGTTTAGCAGGTGAGAAAGGTACAAGTAGGATGAGAGCTACACGTAGGATGGAGAAGGACCAGATAAAGTGAATTGAGAGGTCACATGGCCTAGGATGAGAAAGGACAGTAGATGAGCAGGTACAGTAAGATGAAGAGGTTACAGTAGATGAGAAAAGGTAGCAGTAGGAATGAGAGAGGTTACCAGTAGCGATTGAATGAGAGGTGCAGGTAGGACCTTTTTGGAGGGAGGTACAGTAGTATGAGAAATTAACAGTAGGATGAGAGAGGTGTGCAGTGAGGTAAGTGAGGAGAGGTAGCAGTAGGATGAGAAAAGGTACGTGAAGATGGAAGGAGGTACAGATGATGAGAGGTACACGTAGGAATGAGAATAGGTACAGTAGATGCAGAGGTACCAGTATGATGAGAAGGTAACACGTCACCGATGAGAAGGCTACAGTACGGCATGAAGGAGGCCTACACGTAGGATGAGAAAGGTAGCAGTAAGATGAAGAGGTAAGCAGTAGGATGAGGAAAAGGTACAGTAGGATGAGGTAGGATGAGAGAGGTACAGTAGGATGAGAGGTACAGTAGGATGAGAGGTACAGTAGGATGAGAGGTACAGTAGGATGAGAGGTACAGTAAGAGAGGTGTCCGCGCCCGATGCAGCGGATCTTGGTGTTGTGGGTGCGGCGGCTGGTGCCACGGGTTCACATTGTAACACTAATGATGATTTGGTTATGGTAGAACAGAGCAACACTGAGGAACAACAGGCCTCTGTGGCTGCAGAGAACCTGAGTAGTTCTCATTCTGCAGACACTGAGGAGGCTTCCATTAGTGCAGTCAGAGACACTGTGAGCACCCAGGAAGGACAGGGTGTCAGTCAGGTATCATGTGAAGGAGAAGACATGGAGTATGACACTGAATCAGACACTACATCCATTGGTGAAACTTCTAACAGGAACACTGATCTATACTCTTTAGAGGAAATCAATCATTTTCTGGATGTAACTTTCAACAAATCTGTCAGAGTAAGTGATTATTTCAGTGACACTGAAAAGTTCATCAGATCAGTCAATGTACTAAAGAAACTGGTTGGGTTTAACTTACTGGATGAAAAGAAACGCTTCCGGCTGAAAAAAAATCTCACTTCTCTGAGAAAAGCAATAAAAGGTAAAACTGCCTAAAGGACAAGAAGGTAACATGATCATGTACCACACGGTGATTTCCTCTTTTTACTGTTCTTTGTTGGTTTCTTTTTACCTGTTTCTCCTCTCCAACCTCTACATGCAGAGCATAAAAATAGGATCTTTAAACATTAACGGTGGGAGAGACAGACACAAAAGAGCATTAATATCTGAGGTCTTAACTCAAAAAAGGATAGATGTGTTGTTTTTACAAGAAACACACACTAATCCAGCAAACGAGGTAGACTGGAATTTATGGTGGGAGGGTCCGTGTGCTCTCAGCCATGGCACTAACTTCAGCGCTGTTCTTTTCAAAGCAACTGCAAATGCAACAGTTTTATCTTCCACTGAAGTGGTGAAGGGTCGGCTGTTGGTGGTAAGGGCACAAATAGAAAACACATGGAGGGTCAAACATCCACAATCCAATACACATGGGTGAGGGTCAGTAACAACAGGGTGAGTGCAGCAAGACTAGACAGGATCTACATTTCTCACAGTCTCAGCTCCAGACTAATTCACAGTAACATAAGTCCAGTTGGCTTTTCTGACCACCATTTCAACATCACAGTTGATCATTTCACCAGCTGAAAGGGTTAAATCCTACTGGTTCTTTAACAACAAACTTATCCAAAATAGTACTTCGTGCCAGAGCTTTAAGTGTTTTCGGCAGCAGTGGAAAATCAAAAAATCTGATTTCAGTTCCTTGAAGTTGTGGTAGGAAGTTGGTAAGACACAGATTTGTTTTTTGCCAGCAATACACCTCTCATTCCACTGCTAACATCAAGGCAGCAGTTCAGGAACTCGAAACTCACATCAGGGACATTGAAAAAGGGGTACATGGAGACTCTGATCCCAATATGGCTCATCGGCTTCAGGAGAAGAGGCTGGAGTTGAGCTCCTTCCTGCAGGAGAGAGTGAAGGGAGCGCTTGTCAGGTCTCGTTTCCTCCAGCTAAGGGACACAGATGACCCGACCTCTTTCTTTTTTAATCTGGAGAGATCTGTGGCACAGAGGAAGCATCCTGGAGGAAGAGTGACCACCAGTCCAAGCGAGATGAGGAACCACACAGTGGATTTCTATACCAACCTCTTCAGGGCAGAACACTGCAGCATGGAGTGCCGCGAGGAGCTCCTGGAAGGACTTCCTCAGCTCAGCCCGGGAGAGAAAGCTGCTCTGGACTGCGAACTCACTCTGGAAGAGCTGACTGTCACTGTCAACCAGATGGCATCAGGGCGATCACCAGGGATTGATGGTCTCTCCACTGAATTCTTCAGGCAGTTTTGGAAAACTCTTGGTCCTGATTTACACAGTGTCTTATCGGAATGTGTTTTAGAAATGGGTGTCTTCCTGTCTCTTGTCAGCGGGCAGTACTTTCCCTGCTGCCCAAGAAAGGAGACCTGGCCTTACTTAAGAACTGGAGGCCAGTTGCCCTCCTCTGCACAGACTACAAGGTGCTTTCAAATAGACTAAAGGACGTTTTGGAAATAATCGTGCATGCAGATCAGAGCTATTGTGTACCTGACAGGACAATCATGGACAACATTTTCCTCATTCGAGATGTTATAGATGGTTTGATACAGCTCGCCTGCTGCCGAGGAGAGCTGGGCGCTTGGGCTATGATAAACAGCTCTTCCTCCTACGGCCTGAGGACCTGGATCTGACTGGACTGACACCTTTTTATAGCTCTGTGCTGCAGGCTTGGCAGATCTTTGAGACCAAACGTGGCACAAACGAGACTCCGGGTATGGGGTTGGTTGAGGAACCTCTGTTTTTCAACAATTTCATCAAGACTCAAACACTGCAGTCTACCAGCCTGAGAGGCTGGCTGCACCAAACTGGGCCATCTGATAAAGATGACGGCAACATCGGTGGTCGAGAACAGCAACATCACCTCCATCAGGTTGATCAACAGAGTGGTGGAGCAAGCCAATAGCCACAAACAGATACAGAGCGCACCTGGATCCAGGGCAGGGGGAGGACTGTGTGTTCTCTTCTCAAACTGAGACCTTGTTTCATTTATTTGTTCAGTGTCCTCGGTTTTCGGCGTTGTTCCAGCTTTTAAAAAGGTGGTTTCTGGGTCTGGGGGAAGAGTTTTATCTGGAGAACTAAATATGAGTTTCTGATGAAAGATTAGTTGACGGGTTCTGTTGTTTTTATATTTATTTATTTTTGTTGTTTCTTTGTTTTGTTTTGTTCTGTTTAGCTCTAAAGTGATGATGTGATTGTGATGAAAAAGTCCAATAAAAGGGATGTTAAACCTCTGTCTCTGTCTCTCTCTGT